TTCTTCTCCTCTCTCCTCTCCTCTCCTCTCCTCTCCTCTTCTCTCCTTTTCTCCTTTTCTCCTTTTCTTTCTCCTTTTCTCCTCACTTCTTCTCCTCTCTCCTCTCCTCTCCTCTCCTCTCCTCTCCTCTCCTCTCCTCTCCATTTATGCATCTTTTTAAAGGAGTAGATGGGTACAAAGAAAATAAAACTGGATGCATCCCTAGTGGCAGGGAATAAAAATGTGTAAGTGTAATCCCAAAGGAATCCAAGGGAATCAGCCTCTTCTCCTCAGAGGGCTTTACCTATCAGTATTTCGTTCTGGAATACAAGTGAAGAGCAATGAGTATTTGGAAGCAGGTTAATGAGTATTTGGAGCACATGCAATTGGAGCAATGAGTATTTGGAGATGTGGTACCATTCCTCCACCGCTCCGCGCTCTTCACACACAGCAATAAGCAGAAGCATATAAGAGAGCAGTTTCACATAAGCAATGGCTTATGAATCAGCCCATAGTGCACTAGACCTAACACCAGTTCCCACCAGGCTGACACGCTAAAGGGATGAGCAGTAGCATCAGGAGGGGCTATAATAAATTACTCTCTTCTCTTGGCTGGCAAGATGACAAAAACAGGGGGCCAGAGGGGTTCCTGTTTCTGCTGATCCCATGGAACTCCAAGTCTCTAAGGGGTGTTCCAAGATTTAGGCATCGTCTTCCCTGCTCTTCACAGGAGTGGTGGTCAATGGGCAGATCGTCGGGGCCAAGAGAACGGAGAATAAGAAACTCAACACGTACTTTGGCAAAATCGGGTTTTACTTCAAGAAGAAAGGCCTGAAAGTGGAGATCACCACAGAAACGATCACGCTGAAAGACGGATCTTACAGCATCACACTGAGCTGGGCCGACACAGGCCACATCATTCGGAAGCAGTGAGTTGCTGAGCACTCCTAAGGGAACCATTGGCAGCATCGGACTGACCCAGCTGCGGGTGGGATCCAGGTCACAGAGATCCTGCATACGGGCACGTGAATCGTAGCTACATGTCTGAGCTCTCATCATCACTACTGAAATCAGGCAGCAGGGCCAAGAGAGCCATTCTGTCAACCAGACATGAGTAAAAAGAGCCCAATTTGTCTCCCTACCGCTGACTGCTTCAGCTAAGAACAGGATTCAGGTGCCTCAGCAAAGCATCTCGTGTTATCTGAGATACCTCCAGGGTTCCAGTATCTGAAAGGGGCTGCAAGGATGCTGGGGAGGGACTCCTTATCAGGGACTGCAGTGATAGGACAAAGGGTGATGGGTTCAGCCTTAAACAGGGGAAGTTCAGGTTAGATATAAGGAAGAAGTTCTTCACTGTGAGGGTGCTGAGGCACTGGTATAGGCTGCTCAGAGAAGTTGTGAATGCTCCATCCCTGGCAGTGTGGGCAGTGGGCACTATTCCCAAGGCTGGGGGGTTTGATGGACCCTCTGTCATATCTGCCAACCCCAATCAGTTGTTTTGGATGCCCAAGAGCATCTCAAGGAGCCGGAGAGCTCAGGTGTGACTGAGCCCTTCCTTTGGTTGACCTTTCAGGCTGCTCATATCTGTGAAGAGAGAAAACAACGTTACGATCAGCGTGGGTGAGGAGATGTCCTTCATGGTCCTGCTGCACCGTGTGTGGAAGCATCACCCCGTGAACGTTGACTTCCTGGGAATCTACATTCCCCCTGAGAACCAGTTCTCACCTGAAACCCACGGGCTCATAGGTCAGGGATGGAGGATGGGAGGTGGGAATGGTGGGGCACTGGGGAGGGAGCTTGGCAGATCCTTGGGTGACTTCGTTGGTGTCTGTCTCCTGATGGGGAAGGTGTGGAAAGGATTCAAATAGGAAATGGGGGAGTCCTACAGGAAGCCCCAAGGATGCTGTAGAACATCACAGACCAGGAGAGAATTCCTCATCCCGTCCAGGGAGGGTGTTTTCAATGGCCTGCCCAGGCTTGGTGACACTGTGACAGGGCTTTCCCAGCCTAAAAAGGCTGAAACAACCCCCTCAAACCTTCCTCCTGAGCAGCTTTACATACAAGCATCCGGATCTGTCTTTTCCAGCAAGGCTGTAAAACAAAAGCAAGGGCTCAGCCCAGAGGGAAGTCAGCCCCTGAGCCCTGGTGGCCCAGTGCCCTGTGATCCATGCAGGGTAATGTCCTGGGTTCAGCAGATGCTTTGCCTCCTGCAGCTACTTTGGTTTCCCACAGCAGCTTACGCAGGAGCCTCCAGGGCTGTGAGGGGCAGAGAGCTCTAAACCTCTCTTTGATCAGGTCAGTTTGCGTCTGAACCAGAAGTGTCCATCCACCACCAAACCCCTGGGCAACCGCCAGAGAAACCACAAGCCATCATGGAAGTGAAAGGCAACAAGCTCACTGTGACCAGGTAGGAATAATGTGCTTTACTGCTCTCCTAAATCTGACCTGTTTTGAGGACATCAGTGACTGCAGGCTTGTTACATCTCAAGGATTTTGGGGGAAAGATATCCCTGTTTTCCCTTTGCTGATAATCTGGTTTTAGTGGTTGCCAAAACTTGGGATAAGTTGGGTTCTTGTGCATGAACTGTGCTGTTCTCATAGCTGCCCAGTGCCTGACCTTGCGTAGGCCCTATAAAAGCACCTGAGACGCCAACAGAAGGCCCCATACCCACAGCTGTATGCATGTGCATGGGGTCTGTACACATATTGTATACAGAACTGTGAATCCATTGTATTGTGTGGCTGTTTCCACCTCCCGGTGGTGGAAGACACAGAGCTCACCCCTTTAGCAGGGCAATGCTGGGTTACTGATGCCCAACTGTCTTCTTGTCGGGCAGCGACCTTCACTTTGGGTGTCCTCTTCCCCACAGGGGGCTGCAGAAGGACTACAGGACAGACCGCGTGGCTGGGACCGAGGTGCAGTGCTGGTTTGTGCACAACAGTGGGAAGGGGTTCATAGACGGCCACTACAGAGATTACCTGGTCCCGCACCTGTACAGCTTCCTGAAGAGACCCTGAGCGCTCCGCCACGGAACCAGTTTGTTACAAACGTTCTTATCTGCTCCTTCATGCCCAAACGCCTCTTCTGAACAGCAGCTCTCGGGCTGGATCGACAGGAGGTGACTTCACCACCTTTTGCTTTATAAATGATCAGCTTTCCAACGCCACGGAACGCCCTTTTCTGGTCAAAACCATAATAAAGCGACGTGCTGGGTTGTAGCAGGTATCTTGCTCTCCATGTGTCTGATTTAACAGGCTAATAGTCCATTAATATTCCATTAAAAACTCAAGCTATTTTGTAATACGTGTTTCAGAGCAGACTTGAACTGCATTGTGGTTACTGCAGGGTAACACACAGGACCTGATTTAGTACTTTAGAACACCTCTGCTCGTTCAGACTGCTGGGAGAACCTAAGTACATACACTGCTGGGCTGGGCAAAAAGGAGGATGTGCATTAGGTGTGAAGGAAAATCAACAGAAAAGGAACACGGGCCCTGCAATGAGCACGGTGAGGAGTCTCCTGTCATTAAGAATGGGTTACCCTGTGGTGAGAAACATCCTTGGAACAACAGCAGCCCTGTGGAGAAGGACTTGGGGGTGTTGGTTGATGAGAAACTGAACATGAGCCAGCTTCAGTGTGTGCTTGAGCCCAGAACCCCCCCGTGTGCTGGGCTGCACCCCCAGAGTGTGAGCAGCAGCTCAGGGAGGGGATCCTGCCCCTCTGCTGTGCTCTGGGGAGAGCTCCCCTGCAGTCCTGATCCAGCTCTGGGGCAGCAGCACGGGAGGGACGTGGAGCTGTTGGAGTGAGGCCAGAGGAGGCCATGGAGATGCTGCGAGGGCTGGAGCAGCTCTGCTCTGGAGCCAGGCTGAGAGAGCTGGGCTGGGGCAGCCTGGAGAAGAGAAGGCTCCTTAAGGGGAGACCTGAGAGCAGCTCCAGTGCCTGAAGGGGCTGCAGGAAAGCTGGAGAGGGGCTTGGGACAAGGGATGTAGGGACAGGCCAAGGGGAATGGCTTGAACCTGCCCGAGGGGAGACTGAGATGAGCTCTTAGGCAGAAGCTCTTCCCTGTGAGGGTGCTGAGGCGCTGGCACAGGGTGCCCAGAGAAGCTGTGGCTGCCCCATCCCTGGCAGTGTTCAAGGGCAGGTTGGACACAGGGGCTTGGAGCAAGCTGCTCCAGTGGAAGGGGTCCCTGCCCGTGGCAGGGGTTGAAGCTGGAGGAGCTTTAAGGTCCCTTCTGACCCAAACTGCTCTGTGGTTCTATGACTCCTTCACAAACAAGGCAGTGGCCAGCCAGGCACTTCACTGTGCTCAACAGGCCCCTCAAAACACTGATAAGAACCACGCTGCCCTAGGAAAGGTTTCTGTTTATTCCTGACCATGTTCAGAAATTAAACATTGTACAAAATGTGACGTTTTTTAAAAAATAACAAAAGCCCCTGTTACATCCTTTAGTGAGTGATGATACTCACGGAGCAGAGCAAGAGTGGAAACGTGACAAAGGAAAAGGCTCTGGAAAACCAAACCAGCAATCACCAGTCTGTATCCACATACACCTTGGCTGGCACACAGAAACCCCACAAGCAGCACCCACACTTGAGTCCATATGAGGATAAACTGCATATTACTATTACTGGCAAACACAACGGAGAAGGGGTGACTTGCATTCTACCAACACCAGTGTGCAACCAAAAACAAGCTGGTGACAGCACTCAATAAACCAGACCATTCCTACAACATCCAGGGGAATAATCACTATTCCCTTCCTGCTATTCACTTAATCCCTCCCCTTGTTCCCAGCCAGAACTTGGCTGCAGATTGAGGAGTGTGTGCTGTTAAACCTGGCCCCAACACGCACTATGTGCCTCAAGCAGCTATTTGTAGGTAATTCTGCCTCTCTGCTACCACACTTCAGTGAGTAAAATGCTCCACTTACAGAATACTTCACTTACAGCCATCTGTAAGGAAATTGAACCCAGTATTGTAACTTCGATAGAGAATCAGGTGAAATATTTCCACTGATCAGATCTCCACAAGCATTTTATGTAACAAATCCATAGTGGTCTTTAAATAAATCCAGTTTGTTTGTGGTTAATTTCTATATACATTATAAATACATACACACACACACAGTTAAAACCCTGACATGGTAGAGTCTTGTGTCTGCTGCAAGATGCCAGAAAGATGGTTTGGGGAACCAAAAATCTTCTGTGATCCACGATAAGCAACTCAGGCGAGTTTGGAGATGTCTTCATACAGGATGTCTTCAACCCGGCGGCCTTTTAAAGGGCCCTGAGAACAAGGCAGAAGAAATAGGATCAAAATAGACTTTTCTGTTTCAGAGCTCTGTCCAAAAGCCATCTATAGCTCCATGATGGAGGCTGTACAGGGGATGTGCAGCAAACTGCATCCCAAAACGTGCAGGTCTTGGATTTGCTCACAAAGTACTTTCTGTTCCACTATTTTCCAGCTGACCATAAAATGAGACAGGGCCTCAAACACTGTCACAGGAATCTTTTCACTTTCAGGACACTGTTTGTGTTAAAGGCCTTGCAATTCTGGGGCAAATACAAGCAGCTGATTGAGTTATGGATTCTACGATTGAGTTATGGATTTCTAAGTAGTAAAAGACGTAATTTTGAATACAAAAATCCTGGTCACCCTATAGTCAGTATCTGCTGTTTCCAGGGGTAGTTTCACCCATTTTTAATGTATAGGCTCAGAGTTCATTCAGGAAAGGGAAATATGAACACCTACAGACATCAGAGCTAGACAGAAACTACCCTTGCCTTCAAAAACCAACATTAGCATGGTCCTTAGCTCCAGCCAAAGCTCCTTCTGTGGCTTTCCAGTCTCTTCTCAAGCAAATGCTCCAGACTCCAACAGCAGCTGAATTTCTGCTGAATGGGATCCTAACAAGGTCTCTCTACTACAAGCTTTGTGTATGAATCTTGACTTTAAACCAATAACCTCTCTGCTGTATCAGTCATAGAATCCCAGACTGGTTTGGGTTGGAAGGGACCCTAAAGCTCCTCCAGTTCCAGCCCCCTGCCACAGGCAGGGACCCCTTCCACTTGAGCAGCTTGCTCCAAGCCCCTGTGTCCAACCTAGCCTTGAATTTAAAGAGTTTCAAGCTTGGCTTTGCAGAGAACAAAGCAGCAGCCACACAGCCATGACACCAACGGGGAATTTTAGCCCAGAGAAAAGCAATACATAAAATAAACCCCAAACCCAGAAAACCCCAACCATAATTGTTAACCATGAGCAAGACTCCAAATAAGCACATAAAGCCCCACGTTCAGTCTGGAAAAGGCAGAAGTCACCTCCTTGCATGTCTCACATTTTTCCCTTCCCACAAAACAGTTCAACAGTCCTGTTCAAAATAAACATAAAAGAGACTGGCAGAGTATTTTCTAAGTTCCAAACTTGCTAAATTCAGCATTCTGGCATCACTTTTAAAGGCAAAGAGCACAGCTTTAGTCTGCAATGGGGAATTATGTGGCTGTTTTCTTACTGGTGGGGGACAGGTTGGGGGTGACCACAGCATAAATCCCACCTGTAAGACAGGACTAATGATACCACAGTTCTTTGGGAAAGCTTTCCAAAGGTATAGATGAAAAGTGCTCTACACAAACAAGATCCTGCAGTGTTTGATACTTACAGAGTCAATGACTATTGTAGCTGAAAACCTCTTTTCATTGATAGATTCCAAGATGCCTTCGTTTCCCCTGTAGCCACCATTTAAGACCATCACTTTCTTGCCTGAAAGGAAAAACAGAAAGAGTTGCACAACAGTGTGCACAACTTCTTTGGATAGAGCTGTGTTCAACTCTACTGACAGCTGAGGGAGAGATGGTTTCTCCCAGAAGCTCCAACAAGCAGCACCCTAAGCTTTGTCTTGAGCACACCTTGATTTACTGCTCCATTCTACACTGGGCAGAAGCCACTGAAAGTACAGCAGGCCCGTGTCCCATTCCTTGTGCTAAGAGCTCACTGTTGCCTTTTTGCCTTCTGCTTCACCCAGGGAGCTCCATCAGGGCATCAATCCTAGTGCAAGGGTGGGCAGAGCTCCCCTACAGGTACCACTATGTTAAAGAACACTCACTTTGACACCATCGACCAGCTTTTCACCAGCTGCACACATGCAGAATGCAGCAGGTCTGCTGCAAGATCTGCGAATCCCCAAATCCTATGTCCTGTTTCCCCATATGCTGACAGTGTTCTGCTTACTGCTACCTGGACTGTTCCCTGAAATACTGCTCAGGTGCTGTACACAAATGTTAGTGTGTACCAGGCAAAGCAATGCCAGTGAACCAAAGAGGAGATGAGGTAAGCTTTGCCAAGCACCCACAGCTATTTGAGGCATGACTCTGGAAGGATGATACAGGCTGAATATGACCCAAGGGCTCTGTAGGGCTCCCAGGGATGCTTCCTGGCAGCTGAAGAGAGATGCTTTCATCTCATCAAATGAGCTCATTCCTAAAACACTTCTGTCTTCTCAGAAGATCATCTAACTCTTAGCGATGGGCCTGTGAAGGCTCAAAGCAGAAGCACAGTAATAATTCCCTAGAAAGTAACCAGAGGATATAGAATCACAGAATAGTTAGGGTTGGAAAGGACCTTAAGATCACCAAGTTCTAACCCCCCTGCCATGGGCAGGGACACCTCACACTAAACCATCTCACCCAAGGCTCTGTCCAACCTGGCCCTGAACACTGCCAGGGACGAAGCATTCACAACCTCCCTGGGCAACCCATTCCAGTGCCTCACCACCCTCACAGGAAAGAACTTCTTCCTTATATCCAATCTAAACGTCCCCTGTTTAAGTTTTAACCCGTTACCCCTTGTCCTGTCACTACAGTCCCTAATGAAGAGTCCCTCCCCAGCATCCCTATAGGCCCCCTTCAGATACTGGAAGCTGCTCTGAGGTCTCCACGCAGCCTTCTCTTCTCCAGGCTGAACAGCCCCAACTTCCTCAGCCTGTCTTCATACAGGAGGTGCTCCAGTCCCTGATCATCCTCGTGGCCTCCTCTGGACTTGTTCCAATAGTTCCATGTCCTTTTTATGCTGAGGACACCAGAACTGTTCACAATACTCTAAGTGAGGTAAATGATCAAAGTAGCTTATGAAATGTTGTACCAAGAGCCAGGTGGCTCTTCACAGAATTACAGTTTGGGTTGGAAGGGACCTTTAAAGCTCATCAAGTTCCAACCCTTGTGTGGCCTAGTGGACACCTTCCATTAGAGCAGCTTGCTTCAAGCCCCATTCAACCTGGCCTTGAACACTGCCAGGAATGGGGCAGCCACAGCTTCTCTGGGCACCCTGTGCCAATGTTTCACCACTCTCATAGTCAAGATTTCATCCTTATATCTAGGCCTAAATCTCCCCTCTGGCAGTTTAAAGCCATTCCCCTTGTCCTGTCCCTACAGGCCCTTGTCCATAGCCCATCTCCAGGTTTCTTATTGGCCCCTTTAGGCACTGGGAGCTGCTCTAATGTCTCTCTGGAGCCTTCTCTTCTCCAGGCTGAACCAGCCCAGCTCTCTCAGCCTGGCTCCATAGTAAAGGTTACAGCCCTTTCAAGTGGATGAATTACAGTTTAAAAGAATGGAAACGGAAGTTTTGCAGTGACGTCTAAGCTGAAAACTGAACAAAACACTGTACCTGGTGCTGGTATGACAGTTTCTAGATGTGTCTGATCAAGCTTCAGTTTGTCTCCAGAATCAATCATCTTCACAACCGCTGTATATTTGTCAATCACTTCCTGTTGTGAAAGGCAGAGGCAAATCAGAAAAAGAAGTCCCCAAACCAACAGGACTCTACATTTATGTTTCAATATTAACAAACTCAGGACCAGGAGTCTGCACTTCAATGTTTTCACAAGCAGCAAGGACTTGTGAGCTCTCCTGAGGGCATCCAGCTTTCATGAATCACTGACTGGCCTCACTCTGAAGTTAAGGCTACATTAAAAGGGCTCCTCTAGAACAGCAGTGAACTGTTCTAATTGACCACTATTTAGGTACCTTCTTTTCTAAAGGTTTTACCAGCCTTAAGGTCAGCTCTCTTGTCTGTTCTCTCAAAGATAGGGTGTAAATTAGGGGCTTCTTTTCCCCCTCAGATAGCCTCTGGCCAACTGGCTGGAGGCCACACAGTGACAAGTAGGATGCTGCCTCTCAGTGAGGCAAAATGTTACTGAACATCTTCGTCCTTAGCACAAACCATGTTCCACTTCTCATATTCAGATATTCAGCTGTGATTTTGAGCTCTGTACACTCCTGTTCATTCAAAACACATCTGGGTGTTGTCTTTGGTTGTCTTGCCAGAGGCTGTTGAGCCTTGGACTACCTGGTACAACACCATTTCACTGGCAGTGGCTGAAGAAAGCGCTTCTGAACTACAGGGCAAGGCTCAGCCTCCAGATTTTGTATGCAAATGAAATCTTGTTCAAAGGCAGCTTAAATGCCAGGGCAAAGTCTCAGCTTAAAATGCAATTGCACTGCTCTTGGTCATATCACATTGGCAAAGAGACTGCTCTCCAAGATGGGTGCGTTAATAGGGACAAACTATGCAGGACAAAACAGTGCTTGAGAAAGGATAACTGAGTAAATGACATTCAACCAATTCAGAGCTTCAGTCCCTGCCCAGGTTAAGTCCTGATAGAGTTAAGGGGATGTTTCAGCCCCTTTCAGTGGTGACTTGAGGCTGAACAACTTGCATAATGCAACAAGACTTTAGATCAGATACCAGAAAAACCAACCCAACACCACATGCTTTCAATTTACCTTAACAACTGCCTTCTTCCTGTGATACTTCTCTCCAAGCTTTTTTGTTACAATTTTTACAACGATTTCCTGGAAGAGTTGAAAGGCAGAAAAATAAATAATGCCAGAACACACAAAAACCTACGCACTCTCAACTAATGGCACATTAAGGTCACTCTGACTCCAACCACAGACTGCACAGCACAGGAAGCAATGACAGTAAAGACTCTGCTTTCAGGAACAGATCTTTATGCTCAAATTATTGCCTCAAAGTAGCATCTCAAGACTTTTCTATTTCTTAACTACAGGTACACTTGAATTCAGGCTATAACATGACAGTTACTGTAACAGTGGGTCAAGGACAGGACTTCTTGATCTAGATGCCCAGTCAATAAGTAGAAGCTGAGATGAGGTCTCTCAAAAGGCTGATGTGACTTCTGCACCTCTGTGCAAGTCAACTCTCAGGTAGAAAGAAGAGGGCTGTGAGTAATATCATGATTTAAACATGATCTTTAGAGACTCACAGTACCAACTCTTTAATCAGAGAATGCCACCCCATCTGAGATCAGGCATACAATGCTTCAGACTGCAGACAGTGCTCAACCAGGAGACATACTGTAATACTGCACATTTGTCAGCTTGGAAAATAAGAGTTAATTCAGTTTGGAATCCACCTTTGGATCTTTACACAAATCAAGAGGTTTTAGAGATGCAGAAGTGGTTCTATTTGGTACAATAATAATTTTAAGGCACTTACAGGCTGTAACCAGTAGTCTCTTCGAGCTGTTCTTTTCTTCTCCTCTTCAAGCTACAGAACAATAAATATTCACCATTTACTTTCACTGCAGCTTTCCCATGCTTTGAAAAGCTGAACCAATTCTCCAGGCCCACATCAAGTGGGGAATAAAAAAACCCCAACAAACTAAATAAGGGTAAGTCACAAGTCAGTGTGTGCTTGCTGCATAAAAATCAACCTGATGAAATCCAGGAATCCACGATAAAATGATGGAGATTTATATCTGGGGTTTGTCAAGTGTTTCTAGATATTTTCTTCCAAAATCTGTATTCCTTTACTTCCAACATCTCAGTCATCTGGGGAATAGGCACAGATGAGCAGCAGAAAGCAGTTTTAGTGAGGAAGTGAAATCATTTTGCCTGATAAGATACAACAGTCTGAATTCCTCCTGAACTGAAGGTCTGAGGGCACTTCAAAGGTACAGTGGACATTGCCATAGGCACAGGGTTACAAAGACACAGATCCTGCACGATTATTACCTCCATAATCTCATCCAGTGCAGATTTCTTCTTTTTCTCTTTGGACTGACCAGAGCTATGAGCTGATTCTTTCCTTTTAACTGCCCCTTCCACCATCTTCAGTGCATTCGGTCCAAGGCCACTGTTGGAACAGTAAGATGGTGTTTTCACAGCAGATCTTACATTGCTTCCTCTACCAAGATGCATCTGAAGAAGTGGTTGTGCAAAAAGGCCTGCTGATCTATTTAACTTCAGTTGTGCAAGTCACCTTCCAGACCCTGCATGCCTCCTTCTCTAGGACTGCATTTGACAGCTAGAAATTATCTCCTTGAGATGTACGCTCTGTGTCCACTGATGTCTGCTGCTAGCAGTCCAGCAGCATGAAAACCTACTGATCCACCGGTGCAAAAGCAAAGAGTTGGTCGGGAGCTTGAGCTCAATGGAGAAGGCAAAATCAGGTCTGCAAATAAGGTTTTCAAATTTGAAAGGATAAACCTGTGGCTTTGGAAAAGCCACCTGGACAAAGCAACTCTCAAACATGGTAGACATCTAGAACTCCTTCCATACAGATACTTAACCTATCCAGCAATGGGAGAGAACGCACGGGAACCTGTAGAAAAGGACTCCACACCCAGCAAATAAACACCACCTTCACCATCAAGTTCAATAGGCAAACAGCCTGTAAGTTATGGAAGAAAAGAGCCATCAGCACAAAAAGGTCCATATCAGAGATCAGGGAACATCTGGGTGAAGTAAGAACTGCCTGAAGGCAGCCTGAGTTGAGCTATTTTTATAAAAGACATTTGAATGCAGATAAAAAAATGTAGGTGTTCTCTCACCAAGAAAGATGGAGGCTGCTCAGTTTGACAGGAAGGTAATAGTTAACATGGCCTTACAACAAACAGCATGTTCTGCTTGTGGTGAGCATGTTGGATGTATTAGCAAAGGGAAGACATGTAATGGGAATAAAGATACAGAAATGGCAGCAGAAGCAAGATAGAGGGAAAAATTGTATTTCAGAGGAAGTCTGGATAATCTCCACAAAAGAGTTCTAAAAGAAATAGCACATTAAATCAAAACTCCAATAGCAAGTACTTAAAATAACATCCCATCAAGGGTGACATATGATTAAAACACAACTGCTGTGCCTATATTTAAGAAGCAAATGCATCTTGCTGTGAGGTTACTAAGAGATTCTTGGGTGCTAAAGCTAAACCAAATCTTATTTAATATATTCATTAAGGACCCTGGGACAAAGAGGGTGAGACCACCAACACTCTCAGGAGGTGTTACTGATATGGAGGACACAAAAAAAGAACTGGACACCAGAAGGGACTGGTTTATCTTGAAAAGCATGCTTTAAACCCCACAAAATCCACAGCACATTATGCAAGCTCATATGCTTTGGAAAAGTTTACTCTGATTCCCTTCTATCTACTGGGAGCTGTTTAAGAGCAAAAAAGGCAGCAAGGGGTCTGGCTACCATCACAGATGACAGCTACCAGTGTGAACCAGCCATGAAAGAGTAAAGTGCAATCCCAGGAAGCACCAAGACAGACAAGCGTTAGTGTCCTGTATAAGACATTTCATTTGCAGCATACAGGAATTCAATCAGCTCCCTTGTTCAAGATTAGCTGAAACTGGAACAAGCACAAGGGATGTTCAGTGGATCAGGGGAATGCAGAGGGAAGGGCAGCACCATCCAGGCCTCTTTATACAGCACAGTGAAGGTGTAGAGGCTAAAACTGTTCTCAAATGTGTTGCCTGAGAAAGCAAACAAAGGGAGAAAAATAACTATTTATGTTAAAAACCCCATACCAACATGAGAGCAACTGGTAGAAACTGGCCAGACCACATACATCTACCTGGGAAATTACAGGCAAGGTCCTAACCATTAAAGCAAATCACATTTTGAAGGATCTTGCCCTGGGATTATACAGCTGGAGAGATCCTAACTGCATACAGTGGAACATCATCAATATATGGACAGGACTGTACACTGGTACACTTGCAGTACTGCAGACAGAAGTCTGTGACCTTGATAGTAGCTTTTTGCTCATTCCTCAACTAGGAATCTCAATCTTACTTGTCCACTGAGTTAAGTAGGGATTTGAGGATATAAATTCTTGAGGGGAAAAAAAGTAAGCCCAGGACTCCCCGTTTGCTCAAGGGCAGTCAGCATTGGAAGCTGTGCCCACAGCAGCATCGGTGACTTCTATCTTCATGTCAGACACACGGATGTTTATGGGGAGGCACCTGCACTCTCAATCCTCTTCTCAGGAGGCTCCAACTTCACTTCTGTACCCAACTACCAGTATCCCCATGCCCTCAACACTCCCCCATCCACTACCTACCATCTCCTGGTGCTATTTCTGCACCCTGCCCAAGAAATACAAGTGCCAGGTTTCTGTAGCTTGTGCTGGGAGCTGGGAAGCCAGGAATTCCTTCTGTACACTGTGCTGGAGTACTGGCCACCAGGTTGCACTCAACTGATCCTCAGTAACAGTCAACAGCTGCAGAACAACCTTTAGAATGACACTGGGAAGTAGTTTCCATACATGACTCTGAAGTGATGCCTGCATCACCAGTGACACACTGACCAGTCACTTTACTAAAGTACATATCCTGATTTTGCTTCCATGTTACCATTATGAAGTTTACAGTCAAGTATCTCTCATATGCTATGAAAAAATTAAGACTACTTGATATATGATTTCACTTTCAGCCAAATTTTAGCAAGCACCTTAAGTATTCCTCACCAAAACTATTCAAGCGAGTGGCTGACTTAAGTTTCAGATTCATCTTAAGCACAAATCAATGCTCAGGGATAATTTGTAAGTTTTCCTCAAAGCCTGAAATCTGTATCTAGTATTGCAAGGAACTACTTTATTGTCTCATTTTCTCCGTGGCGTATCTCCCATCAGATGCCTTATCTAAGAGCTGAGCTTGTGGGGAGAGGAAAGCTTTCTTTTTACCTGCAATACATTTAATTGCAGTATTGCCTCACAAGAAAAGATGTACTGCTCATTAAATAGCTTCACAGACTGCTCTAAGTCAGTATTGTTTGTATTATTGATCCCTTTTGTCCTGCATTGTTTGTGGTTATATGAAGGCAATTAAATTCATGAGCTGTAGAAAGATTTACATCAGGGAGATTCAGCTTCTTAAGTGATGATCAGAAAGAATATTGCCTCCAATTAGACAAGGCAATCAGCCCTCTTAGGAACCAAAATTAACAAGTCATGAATACCCATTCATAAAAGGCAGCTGGGACTAGATGGCATTCACTTCAAGCGCTTTGACTGGATCCCTTATCCACCCTTTCACATAACAGCGTTTTCAATAACTACCTAATACTTCACAGGCATCTGCCATGAACCACAGTGAATTCAAGAAAGCTCCTCATAGCACACGTTTAAGATATACCCATTTACCCATTTTAAATACAAAAGAAACCATGAAGTCACCTTGTACCCCTCCTGAATAACATGACAGGATGAGAGATTAAATTCCAAGTATTTCAGGACAAGAAACCCCTTCCTGCCCATACAAATATCATTGTCATGTAAGTGCTTTGCAACAAAGGGTTGCCCTTAAATACTTTTCTCACCTTGTTTTAGAAGATGCAGCTATTGAAGTACTTGCTCCTTTGTTTAAATTAAATGCAACTACAAAATAAAAAGAAATTACTCTATTTCTATCTTTAAAAATAACTGCATTGAAGGATGTTACAGTTATAAAAATCTGCAAATGGAAAAGATGAGCAATTTGAAAACATTTACCCATTTTAGTTCAGCTTTTAAAATAAATTACTTTACACTTTAGAAGAGCGAATACTCTGTATTTCCATATTCCAGTGCTCTTTAGAACAGATCTCAAGCTACTTTATGAGCAGGCTCCAGTGCTCATCTTGCTTTAATCACAAGATCAGCTTCAGTAGCTTCTAGAAAATGGCATAGCTCAAAACCTGCTTACCTTTTTCTTCATCGTTTTCTCTGTTCAGTTCAGTATAGACTGGCTTCTCCTGCCAAAATAAACCACAAAACACATTTCAAGAGTCAAGCAGAAAGCTGAGCTGGGGTATCATTTAGTGGTGATGATTGATTAGCTCAGTTTTACATACTGTGAGATTATGACAAGTACGTGCAATATTCAACCTGTCTTGATTCACAGGAGATTATAAACTGGAACATTATCTCATCACAGGTTCCTGTGCAAACTTCTCTGATTAACACTCTCTGCAAAGAAGCTATCTAAGCTTGCTGGATTCCAGCATGAAAGTGGCCTTACTGCAGCAGTTTGCCCCATTGGAATCAGCATGATCAGAACGGTTCCTGGACAGACTGAGAACTCCAAGAAGGAAATTCTGGAATCTTTCCCAATTTTTAGCACTGAAGGCTCAGACCATTTAAATTTCAATTAGTTTGAAATTAAGAAAAAGATAATTGTTTACAACAGCATTTAAATGTACCTATCAATAGTCAGGATCAAATGGGAGGTTCCAGCTCCAGGCAACAACTTGTATGGAAGTCGTGGAATGACACCCAATAGATCCCAAATACCACATCAGCACTATCAAAGGGAAACTTTTCACTATGTGGACTCGATTATTCCAGATCTCCCTAGTTATTTCTCTCAGCCTCCCCACTGTACATGGTACTTGTTATTTGCAGCCCTAAAAGCTGTGAAATACCATAAATGAATACATAACACACTGGTTACTGTATTGTTTACTCTCCCTTCTTAAATTCAAGAGTGACTTTTAAATCCCTAATCACTGGAAGAGCAGTAGTTATTATTCCTTTAATACTAAAGCAAGCCAGGTCCAGTTTTCTTCCAGAGCAGGTTATAATCCAAGATTACTGTAGAGCAGAAAATTCAGAACGTAACCGAATGGATGTGCTGATTCAAATATGCAAGAAGATGGTCTAAATCAAAGTCCAAAATGGCCAGGATCAGACACTAGGGCCACAGGATAGAATTCTAACAGATTTCAAAATCACATCAAATCTAAAAGGACCTGAAACTTCTGCTTCCTTTTATTTCTGAAACTGTGATTCCAGAGGACCTTGCTGTTCATCAGCTGTAAAAACCACCAGCAAGTTGGTTAGTCAAAGAAATACACTAAGGTGCAATTTTAACAGAAACAAGTTAGTCAAGGCTGCTATCAGAAGGAGAAAAATATTCCTTGTGGCTTAGGAAAGAACAGCAATGCAGCCAAATATGCCCACTGCTCCTCATCTTGAACTGGTGATGACTTTGTAACCTAAAGCTTACTCACCACCTTCTAACTGACTACAAAGGAAGTAAGAATGCCAGGATCCCAGGAGCATAAATCACCATTAAATTAACCAAGAGGAGTTTTCAGCTGAAGGCTGACAGACACACAATTTTACTCACCACTTCTTTCCCCTCCAAACCTCTTCTAACTTGCTGTTCAATGAATTTTGCAGTTTTTTCTTCATCATCAAGGTCCTGTTTCTTCTTCCTCTCTTGCTCTTGTTGCCTGCGAATAGTCTCTGGGTCCCTATCAATATACTGGATATACCAGCCTTTTGGAGTCTCATCCACCTTGCAAAGACCTAAAAGTCAACGTAAGATAAAGTAAGATTAGTACTAACAAAAGCAAGCAAGAGACAAAGAAAGAATCAAGATCATTTTCACAGCTGATGTTCATTACAACAATGCAGATACTTCACCAGAGACAATGCACCCCTTACTGACCTGATGAAACTGACTGACAGCCCACACCAAAGGGTGGTGGTGAGTAGCTCCGGTGATCTGCCCCTAGTGGGGGCCCCCATGGGTCAATGTCACCATAAATGACCTGGACGATGGGATCAAATGAACCTGACAAAGTTTGCAGATGGTACCAAAGTGAATGGTGAAGTGGACACTTTGGAAGGGAGATCACCCGCTGTAGGAAGACCTTGGTAGGCTGAAAGAATGCTCTAACAAGAACTTTATGAAGTTCAACAGGACAGATGTAAGGTCTTGCACCTGGGAAAACACTATCCAGGAATGCAACACAGGCTGGGATCTGTCCAGCTGAAGAGCAGCTCTGTGGAAAGGGAGCTGGGGTCCTGGGGGACACAAGCTCAATATGAGTGAACAGTCCACTGCTGTGGCAAAGAAAGTCAGCAGGATGCTGGGAGCATCAACAAGGGCATCACCAGCAGAGATAAAGATGTCGTTGTTCCAATCTACTCAGTGCCTATCAGGCCACACATGGAATACTTGTGCAGTTTTGCTCCCCACTGTGCAAAAAAGCTGTGACCAGGCTGGACAGGGTCCAGGAAAGGGCCAAAGAGATGATGCAATAATCTCCCCAGGAAAGTAGTGTATTCCCCAGCACTGGACACTTTAAAGATTCAGCTGGACAGGGTGCTGGGACATCTAGTCTAGGTCATGCTTTGCCTAGAAAGGTCAGACCAGATGATCCCTGAGGGCCCTTCCAGCCTGGGATTCCAGCCCTTCAGCTAGCCAGTTCTATTTGGAAACAGGCCAGAGCACAGAGTGGATGGAGTGTTTTTCAATACTTCCTCATTGAAGAAAATGTTTCCTTCCCACTGTTTTAACAAGGAAGAAAACAGAAATCTAACATATATAAACAATACACACTAATAGCATCATACTAAAGGAAACATTACTACGCTTCGTTATTGTTACTAACTCAGGCTTGAGTGACTTTCCAAACACTGTATGACTCATGAATGTATCCTGTAGGACAGAGGCAATCAGTGCCAAAGTAAACTTGCTGTCATACCACAGTGCCATTTAATATCTCTTCCTCCCACTGACCACAAAACTGCAGATCTCAAGCTTTAACCCTTTCATTAAGGCAGGTATGAAAATGACTGTTGGTTCTCTTCACCTTAAACATGGAGGGATTCTGTAAGTCATAAGAAATGTTCTATGATAGTTGTTAATTTTAAATGGCAACTGTTGGAAGTTGATTTAGGATGGAGCAATTCCCTCCAGTAAATATAGACAATAGATGAAATGAGGAAAGGTTCAAGACTGATGCATTTATCACAGACTGCTGGCATTTTACATAAGCAAATTCTTAATGGTTAGCACAGAAATGTGTTTGGATATCTATATATAAATATATATGCATATATACAGGAAAGGAAGGAAAGAAAGGAAAAGGAAATAGAAGAATTAACCTAAACATTTACTGATCAATTATCAGCAAATTGCTCACTTCCCAAGTAAGCAACTGCACTTACCTTCCCTCCCCAGCCACTTAGTGAAATCAGTCAGAGTCTCCCACTGTGTGGCATTCATGTGGATGTGTTCTCTATGGCTGATATATTCATTGTACACAATATTATTGTGGACTCTCTTTGTTCCTGAAATACAGAATTATTGTTATTATTGTTGCTGTGGTGGTTGTTATTAAATCTAAGTGTGGAATTTAGGATAAAGCAATAAAGCAACCAAAACTCTTGCACTGAACCAATAAAAGACATTAGAAAAAGATCAAGTAAGCAACCAGGACAATATTTACCAAATCTCCTCCGGAGCAGCTCGAGGAAATCATTTCGGAATTCCCTTTAGGGATAAAAAGAAAGTATTTTAGTAAAAGTTTAACAATTACAAAGCATTTTTCTATTGTCATTCCCAAATAAAGATCTGCAGTATAAACATGAGCATTCTTTTGAACTGAGCATGATGAAGCTCAGCCACTCACTTCCCTTTTTCAGCAAAGCAGCATTAAATGCAGTGTGTATGCACAAAGAAACACAACGTGGTACGTGCACATACAAGTTAAATCTTCAAAAGGGTAACAGCCTTTCAAAGGGATAAAATGGAAGGAAGGAAATCTAAACACTTCCCACTAATTGCTGGTGTTTCATTACCAGTTCTCTCCCCAGGCTGACTGACACAAAACACAAAGGGCAGCAGTGGCAGATGAGGCAGGTTGATCACTCATCCTGCTGCTCATTCAAGGGCTTGAGAATAAAGCCTCATTTCAGACTCGTGCTGAAGACAGCTCCAGTCAACCCAGCTGTCCTGTTGGTCACCTGGACAAAGGACTGGGGGAAACTGGGATGTCAGTCACACTACTCACTTGTTATCTCTCTCTAATGGCTCTTTTAGCTCTTTGTAACTCATGCGGGGGCAGTCACCTTGCTGGGACAGAAGGGTGACATCAAAATAAAGTGTCTTCAGTGGGACATGCCCAGGCCTTAGCAGTGTGGCTGTGCAGATCTGATACAGCAATGAAGATCTGGGTACGGATATACAGCACTTACTCAGAAAAGTAATCCATGAACTGCTGAGGATTTTCAGAAGCCAGCAGCAACTGCCTCTGGTGGGACTCAGACATGCAGTGACATTTGAAGCCATTCTATAAAATAAAAACAAAAAAATTGGCCGGTTTTGTCTCGATTTGCAATACTCACACACAGCTGACCAGTACTTAAAATAAAGCTTTGCAAGCAAAATTCCTTGGAGGCTACACACAGAACAGAGCCTATGATGGGGTGGGTGTTCCTTCTGACCAGGCAAGCCAGAACCAAACTCCTCCCAAGGCCAAGAGACTCCAGACAAGAATGAGAGAGGTTACGAGACAGGACATTCCAGCAGTTCTCCTCATTTCTTGTGGAATGAAATAGACCACTGCACCTTCGAGGTCCACCTGGGACCCATTCAGGCACTTGTGCAAGAGCACTCCATATGTTTGTTGGCTCCCTACCTGACCAACACTACCACCAAATGTGTGCAAGTAGAGGATGGTGTCCTGGGGCCACTCAAGGGACTGTGGCAGTCTGACCACCTCTGGCAAAGGGTTGAAGTCATCAGAGCTCACCAAAAACCACCCAGACATAGGACTTTGGCTGCATCCTTTTTTTGTCTGATTTAATGTTCTTTCATTATAATATGATTAAATCCACAGCAAATTTCATTCCATGGGAGCCCTGCCCCATCTTACAAAAAGATCTGGTCATAGAACAGTGAAGCTTTTTTGCTCATAGTCACTGGGAAGAGAACAGAATCTGAGGTTCTTCAGTGAAAAGAAGAGGGGGCAAAAACAGCTGGAGAACAATACAATTATGCACAAGATGATTTATTTCTCTAAGTCTCATTCCAGAGGCTATTCACTAAAAGCACAGTTACCTAAAGTGGAGGTACTTTTGGAGCACAACTCTGGTGGAAATCAGGAAGGACACTCACATCCCATAGGCATCTGGGTCCAAGTAAACAGACAAGCAAAAACATGAGGGGGAAGCTTCAGAGGAAAAGCAACTCTTTACAACAGAAGAAAGAGAGAAGATGGAAAAGAGAAAGATGGAAGACCTGAATGGAGTCACCTGTACAAAAAAGACATGGTCCTGTTGGCACAGGTCCGAAGGAGCTGATTAGAGAGCTGGAGCAGTTCTGCTCTGGAGGCAGGCTGAGAGCTGGGCTCACTCAGCCTGGAGAAGAGAAGGCTCAGGGAGACCTTATTGTGGCCTTTCAGTACTTGAAGGAGCCTAGAAGAATGCTGGAGAGGGGCTTTTTATAAGAGTAAGTACTGACAGGACTGGGGGAATGAGTTTAAACTGAAAAAAGGTAGATTTATATTAGATAAAAGGCAGAAGCTCTTCCCTGTGAGGGTGCTGAGGCGCTGGCACAGGGTGCCCAGAGAAGCTGTGGCTGCCCCATCCCTGGCAGTGTTCAAGGCCAGGTTGGACACAGGGGCTTGGAGCAAGCTGCTCCAGTGAAAGGGGTCCCTGCCCGTGGCAGGGGTTGGAGCTGGATGAGCTTTAAGGTCCCTTCCGATGCAAACCATTCTATGAAGAACCCTCATAGTGCTTCAGATGTCCATTCCCTTGGGCATGTCACTGCACTCACCCTGTCCCCAAGGTAGATCACAGCTACCCTCAACTCCCCTCTAAGGCAGATGGAAGCCACTTAACTCTTAACCCTATCAACCTCTCAATGCGTGTATGATGAAATCACCCCTCCAAGGAGTTTAGGGCCACCCTTTGCTCCCCCCCAACCCTGGGCTGATCAGTCTGCAGGGGACTGAATCATAGAATAGTTAGGATTGGAAAGGACCTTAAGATCATCCAGTTCCAACCTCCCTGCCATGGGCAGGGACACCTCACACTAAACCATGGCACCCAAGGCTCTGTCCAACCTGACCTTGAACACTGCCAGGGATGGAGCATTCACAACCTCCCTGGGCAACCCATTCCAGTGCCTCACCACCCTCACAGGAAAGAACTTCTTCCTTATATCCAATCTAAACTTCCCCTGTTTCAGTTTGAACCCGTTACCCCTTGTCCTGTCACTACAGTCCCTAATGAAGAGTCCCTCCCCAGCATCCCTATAGGCCCCCTTCAGATACTGGAAGCTGCTATGAGGTCTCCACGCAGCCTTCTCTTCTCCAGGCTGCACAGCCCCAACTTTCTCAGCCTGTCTTCATACAGGAGGTGCTCCAGCCCCTGAGCATCTTCGTGGCCTCCTCTGGACTTGTTCCAACAGTTCCATGTCCTGAATGTCCCTAAATGTGGACCAGGGTCAACACACTTTCTCCAAAGTGGATGAGGGTTTCTCCCATGGGAGATCTGGGATCCAACCGGACCAATCCACCTACAACCAGCAATTAGAAACCCTCCAGCTTCCACCAACCTGCCCCCGAGGGGACCATGATCCATACAAAAGGCACTGGGGACCCCCAGAAGAGAACGGGGACCTCCAGAAGAGAATAAGGACCCTCTCCAGTGCTCCCCTAAAGAGAGTCAGGCCAGTCAGTTCCAGCAATGAAACCAGGATGTTCCCTCCAAGTCTCAACACCGCACAGATGGAATCAGAGCCCCCGCAAGGCAACCGCGGACACGTCCATGAGGAAGCTGAGCCAGCCTGTATCCCCCTGGCGAGGGAACTGGGAAACACACAAAGCGGCTACGAGCTCCCATACCCCTAAGGCAATCGCATCCCCTACAGAAGAATTAGGGACCCTTACAAGAGCGATCCCAGCCCCCCCGTGCCACCCTCAACAGCACTAGGGACACTTACACGGCAGTTGGTAGCCCCCGCAAGGGGTCTGAGAACCCCAGCCGAGGAGATCCGAGCCGCTGTTTATCTGCAGGACACCCACCCCCCACAAAGATCCCCTACAAGCCGGTCAAAGCCCCCATTCCCCCCCGCACAGAGCCGCCAGACCCCGTGAAGGACCGGGGCCCGCCGCTCTCCGCCACCACAGGCCCAGCTGCCACCGCCACCGGGGCGGGCTCACCTCATCGCGGCACTGCTTCTGGCACATCTGGCAGTACCAGCGCAGCTTCTGCAGCCCCTTGGACTTGATGCGGTTGGCGATGGCCTTGGGGCTGAGGAAATCCGACTTCCCCATGGCGGAAACCGACACAACCCCTCGGACGGCACCGGCCCGGTACCGGCCCCGCCGGAAGCGGCGGCCCCGGAAGCACTTACCGCCCCCTCCCGGCGCGGCTGCGCGGCCGCTGACCTTCATCGGGGCTGTGGGGAAGGCGCCGCCATGTTCGCCCGCGGGGCTGCGGTCGCGCTTTACCAGCCGCAATGGTAACGGGAGGGGAGGCGGGGTGCGAAGGGCTTTGTGGGGACGTGCGGTGCGTCCCGGTAGTGGTTGTAGCGGTGGTAGCGGCGGCGGAGCGGCCTTGGGGGGTGAGGCTTCCCTCGGCCGGGGGCGGCGGGGTTGCCCCTGAGGTGTCTGTGGGCTCCGGTGTGGCGGGAGGAGCGGTGGCGGTGAGGGTGAGGGCGAACGGGCTCCCCAGTGGCCTGCGGGGGACGGAGCCGTGCCCGTGCCCGTGCCCAGCCGCAGCTCTGCCGGTGGGGCGAGGGGAGGCGGGAGATGGCAGGGAAAGGGGATGTGTGGGGGGCAGGAAGGGTGAAAGGACGGCGCCGTGTGTGACGGGGTGTGCAAGGAGACCCTGCTTCTGTCGGGAAATGCTGCATCCGTCTCTGCTTCGTTTTAATCGTTAATAAACCCAGTTCATGTACCCTTTTGATGCCCTGTTGGCTGGCCCTCGTTTACACTGTGCTTGAGGCAGTAGTAATGCACGAAATGATGTAGAAGGTGAGGAGAAGGATGGAAGCCATGTGTGCAATGCACGGTATAGAGCAGCTTGTCACTGCCATAGATGCTTTCTAAGAAGCAGTAGCTCTAAAGGTTTCATCCCTCTGGAAGGCCGCTGCCCTTGGCAGGGGTTGGTTTGCTGCAGGACCAGTGAACTATCCTAATATCTCCCCTATTCATTTTCAGGGGCCAAGTCAGGAATATGGCAACTCTGAAAGACAGTGAGTACTGGTTTTGTTTGCTTCTGAGAGAGGGGAAGTGTTGCAGGAAAGCCGGAAGTTAAAATACAAGTTATCTGTTGAATAAATTCATTGTGATACACCATAATGTTGATTCATGAGCATGTCTGGTATTGAGCAAATGTCCTTCAGAAAAGGCATTGCTCTAAAAGGTTTTAGCAGTGACTGAAGTGACATTTCAGCAAACAGTATAGTTTTACACAAGCAAACCTTTTCGTTCACAAAATAACTTTGTCCCCTGTGCTAAACCGCATTTTGGTCACCTTTAAGAATTAATGTTTGTTATGTTTATTTGCTTGGCCTTTTAAGCAGCATTTGGAGGGAAAAAAAGGTTGACTGAATGGGATAATACTTCATTTAGCTATTCTTCATAGGTTCTTTTACAGGGATATTGCCTTGGAATTGTGCTTGTCAGTAGAACACCTGTTTTGCTTTCTTTTCTGCATCAGTATTTCTGTGAGTGTCATTTTGCCACAGTCTAAGCAGAGGAGGAAGTTTATTCCGAATCTTCATACTATGGCGTCTTGCTTGTTTGTTTCCTGTCCTTGTCATCTGGGAAAAAGATGACAGTGCTCCTCAAATGATACATTTGTGAAACAGGTAGAAGTGGAAGGAAAGAGAACAGCAAATAGATTTTATGTTGGGATAACTATTAAATGACACTTATCTCTGGAGGAAAAACATATCCATTGTAAAGATGCATTTGGGTTAGCCAGATGACTCTCTTACAGCTTTCTTACTGTAAATACTAAGGTCTTTATTGAGGTTTATTTGTGCATTGTTTATTTACTTTTTCTTCTATGGGGAACGTGGCCAGATACTTTTGAATGGCGATTGCTAGCATTTGATTGCTTGGCTATGATGTCCTTATACCCAGTATAAGTATAGCCCATGACCTTCAACTCTTAACCTTGTAGTTACCAGGCGTTTGAAGTCTATCAAGAACATTCAGAAAATTACAAAGTCCATGAAGATGGTTTCTGCAGCAAAATATGCAAGAGCTGAGAGGGAGCTGAAGCCTGCCAGGATCTATGGAATGGGAGCACTGGGTGAGAGAAGACTGGTGCTATGGGAGCAGAAGAAAAAGGTTTTCATGGGGGTGATGAAAGGCCTAGACTTTTAACCTTTCAGTAGTTTTTTCCCAAAAGGGTTTGCATCTCTAGGCCACCCTGAGCATTCCTTATAAGTAGTTAACAGAAAGTGATTTTTTAGAGTTCTAATGTGAACTTCACAGAATCATAGAATCAACCGTTTAAGCTCATCCAGTCCAACCGTTCCCCAGCGCTGCCAAGGCCACCACTAACCCATGGCACTGAGGCCTCGTCTCCACGGGGTGTGAACACTTGCAGGGATGGTGCCTGCAGCCCTGCCCTGGGCAGCCTGTTCCAATGGCTGAGCACCCTCTGGGGCAGGAATTGTTCCTCAGCTCCATCTAAACCTGCCCTGGTGCAGCTTGAGGCCGTTTCCTCTTGTCCCATCCCTTGTTCCTTGGGAGGAGAGACCAGATTCCTCCTGACTCCTTCCTCCTTGCACATAATTGTGGAGAGTGATAAGGTCCCCCTGAGCCTTCTCTTCTCCAGACTAAACCCCAACCTGCCAGGTCCCTCAGCCCTTCCTGATTACACTTGTGCTCCAGGCCTTGCACCAGCTCCATTGCCCTTCTCTGCCTCCGCTCCAGCACCTCAATGCCCCTCTAGTAGTGAGGGGCCCAGAACTGAACACAGGATTCAAGGTGCAGCCTCGCCAGTGCCCAGTACAGGGGCACAGTCCCTGTTGTTGGCCATACTACTGCTGATACAGGCCAGGATGCCATTGGCCTTCTTGACTGCCTGGGCACAAGCTGCTCATGTTCAACTCTGTCAGTCAGCACCCCCAGGGCCTTTTCCACCAAGCAGCTCTCCAGCCACTCTCCTCCAAGCATTATTAACTCATCCCCAAATCATGATGATTTCTGATTATGTTTTTAACTTTGGGTGGTTGCATGGTTGGTTTTGTCACTTATTAGAGCACCACAGCTCAGAATATCTGGCTTGCTTCTGAACTCCGGGTCTGCACATGCTTCTGATGCACTGGTCTCAACACAGTGACCTTAACTAAGTCATGACGTGGGTTGTGTGGTACCCAGTCAGAAACATGGCTGGTTTTGAACTGTCACCTCTGGTCAGGTCATGTGCAAACCTGAATGAATGTGAGGGAGATAAAATTCATCTGACTGAGATTTGGAGCCCCTTTAGAAATGGTTTTAATTAGAATAATTCAGAGGTGTTTTGCTGTGACCTGTTTGCTTCTTGGCACCCTTAAAAACTTAACCATCTTTTCTTTTCTAGCTCTCTATGAGAAAGCAGAAATAAAGGCACCTGAGGACAAGAAGAAGCACCTCCTTATTGGTGTGTCCTCTGACCGAGGCCTGTGTGGTGCTATCCATACATCTATTGCTAAAACCTTGAAGAATGAGATTACCAACCTCTCAAACGCAGGAAAAGAAGTTATGGTGGTTGGAGTTGGTGACAAGATCAGAGGCCTCCTTCAGAGGTAAAAAGGATGGGTCCCAAACCCCCAAAAGAGTTTGGTTTGGTGGTTTTATTTGTATTCTGTGGTAGAAATGTCAAGACTTCTTAGAAAGCTGTGTGGCATTGAGGAGATTGTATTTAATGGAAGTAAATCTTGCTACCACATGTTGTACATTAGAGCATCCACTTGCTTCTAAGACAGATCTGATGTTCCTGCAGGACACATGGCAATTACTTCCTGCTGACATTCAAAGAGGTGGGACGGAGACCTCCAAGCTTTGGAGATGCCTCAGCCATTGCATTGGAGCTGTTAAACTCTGGCTATGAATTTGATGAGGGCTCAGTCATCTACAATCGGTTCAGGTAAGATTAAATTGGGACTGCACTGGAAAAAAATTGGGTAGAAGGCTTCAAAGAGCACATTGGCCTGATGAAGTAATATGAAAACTGGCTGACTTGTCATGTTTATTTCTTGAGTGAGTGCTTTTTGTGTGTGAAGAGCTGTTGGTTGTTGTTTTGTGAGAGCTGGGAGCGGAATTCTCTTTTTACATTACATTTACAGTCAGCATGTTATATCAATGTTGTTTCTGAGATCTCTTCATCAGGATTATCACAGAACTTTGTGGAACTGGGGGTGCAGAAGCTGCCTCTCCTGATTCGATTTTAAGCTCTCCATTTAGGATCAGTTGAACTGAAGATGCTGTTTTTATCCAGGTCTGTCATCTCCTACAAGACCGATGAAAAACCAATCTTCTCCTTTGAAACAGTTGCTGGTTCTGGTAAGTAGTGAACTAGAAACCAGCAGTTAAGTGATAAATCACAGAGAGAGTACTCTGAACATGGGAATATGATATTAATAATTGGTATTAATAATAGGTGTGTGTAATGGATATAGTATTAATTATGCATGTAGTATAAATTGAACAAATTGTATTATCTTGGCAGCCCAGAGCTGACTTACCAAGGTGCTGTGAGGTTAAAATGAAAGGTTGTACTAATCTTGGTTTGAGATTCTTTCTCAAGCAAGAATTGTGCATATGCAGAACTCTGTCGGTTCCAGTGTTTTCAGCACTGTAGTGACTTTGCACTAACTCAGTAAAAACACCCCAAAATGTTTCTGCAGCACTACATGGGAAGATTAAACATAATGTGTCAGTCATGTATTTGGCCTTGGTCAGAATCTGATTTTCTGAGTATTAAGCTAAATTAAACCACATAAAAAACTTAACAAAAATTTTAATAGCAAAGAGAATATGAAAGTACACAGAATGTGTGGAGAAAATCCCTCTGGATTGCCTGAAGTAGAGAAGCAGGCTGGCCTAGCAGCCTTTTGCATGGTGTTGTATTGTTTTGCTAGAAGTAGTGTATCTCAGCTTGCTTTCAATCTGCTCTTTCCTATTTTACAGAAAGCCTAAGTATCTATGATGATATTGATGCTGATGTGTTGAGAAACTACCAGGAATTTACACTAGCAAATATTCTCTACTACTCACTGAAAGAATCCACCACCAGCGAGCAGAGTGCTAGGATGACTGCTATGGACAACGCTAGCAAGAATGCTTGTAAGTCCACA